TTTGTAATTTACCTGTAAGCTTTCTTGCTCTGAGTAGCTGTTCAGAGAAGTTATGTATATTTCTCTGAAATATTTTTAGTTATTGAACAAATGTTATGACTCACAAGGTTATTGCTTTCAGCATGAGACAATATTGTTGGCGGAGAGAGAGTCCACCTGACAAAAACAGGACATTGAATACTCTGAAACTAGAAACTGACACACACAAAAAAGTTACAATAGTCTTATTTATTAGCATAATCCCGCCTACTACTTCCAGTATCTTAAACAGACATCTATTGTTTGATTTTGGTGGTGACTTATTTAAGTGCAATTGATTAATGTGTTTTATTAATTGAAGGACTGGTGACTGAATTAATTTTGAGTGAGATCTATTCCCTCACCCTTCTTTATACCTTTAACAAGCTAAAGTTATATAGGTAATGGCGCAACTAATCCAAAAAGGTGTATAATTTAAGACCTGCTCCCCTACCCTGTTATCTTCTTGAAAGCAATCTTCTTATACAGTAAATATAAAAAGTCTATACACTCCTGTTAAAATGCTAGGATTTTGAGATGTAGAAAGTCAGACTAAGATAAAGCATTTCAGAATTTTTCCACCATTAATATAAGTTGTACAGTTCAATTGAAAAAGTAATTGAAATCTTTTAGGGCTAAAATTAACAATAAAAGTACAATAACATGTACAAGTTGCACATTTTTAATATTCCCCCATTTGCCTAATGGAGGGACCACAACATAAGGGAAAAAGGAGAAGATAGGGCACTTTTGAGTTCTGTGAAAGTGCCACTTATGGTTGAAGTTGGTGAAGCTTGTAACCACATGAAAGAGGTCTTAGGTGGTAGAGGAGAAAGGAAACAATCTACTTGAAGTACATGGAAATAAAGGTCAAATTCTCTTTTTGTTTCTCAAAACATCGGAGAAGCAAATGAAGATATTGTGGTAATGCATATCATCTTTTTATCCAGGAAAGTTTTAATAATTCACCCTTCAATTTAGATGAAAGTTTGAGCAGACATTTGAACTGCTCAAGGATCTAACAAGTTGCATGCTCAATGCCACTTAATTCAAGGGAAGAAATAGAATTTTTGGGAAATTTGAACATGATTTTGTGAACATTTTTCTGAGACTAGGAAGTTAATTAACATCCCTACTGGGGGAAAAAAAACTAATCTTGTTCAAGGTTACAGGTGATTACACTTCATTGCTCTGAAAATTCAGTTCTATGCTAAAAAAAAATTCTTCGACACTTTCAAGAACATTCTTAATCTCTATTTATTATTTAATCTATTTATTTGATTTTGACACCATCTGACTCCAGTCCAATTCAGTTAACAATGTACAGTATTGATAATGTTTTTGTTATCAGTGATTTAGCTATGCTCACTAATTGTTTTATATGAAATTGATCTTCACACAAATATTGCAATATATCTCTTTGTGATATTTCTTTTACATATCTCTTTGGCCAAGATTTTAAATTATTAATTTTAGTTGCAGCATACGTTTACATTATATGTTCTAATTTGTACTGAGTGGCATGGCAATAAAATGATATCTCACATGCTTACAGTTGTACTCAGCATTCCTCATCAAATTGGGGAGAGATTTTGATTTGATTCACAAAGCTATATAAAGAATATAATAAAGTTTATTATATTCATGTTGGTCATGCCTTAGCCAATAAGTGGAAAGACTGCTCATTAAATTTGCAAATGGCACATAAATGGTGATACAGCTTTTTAAAAGGATGATTTTACAATCATGTTTTGGATAAACACGTGTCCTTCATCTGACAAAAATGTATAAAATAAAAAAAAAACCCTCCAAGGGTAGGTTTGATGGATCATTTTCTGTCATCAGTTTTCTATGTTTCCATAATATTCAGAACTGAGCACAGTAATCAAGGTGAGATCTGACCAAAGCAGAAAAAGAATAACAACTTCCTTTAATTTGGAAATTATGTTCCTATAGATGCAGCCAGAAACTGCATTTGTCTTTTGTGAAACTACATATACTATGGACTCATATTCAGCTTGCAATATACTATTCCATGATATTCTTTGCAAGTATTATTACCAAGGGAGCGATCCCTTGTCTGAAATGGTATAGGGCATGGGTTTCAAACTCGATTATGTCATGTGACGTATTGTGACGTATCGCAATGTTTTTTGCCTTTGTGGAGCCAGAGTGTGTACGTGGCCTGCGTGTGACGCATCTGGCCCACGGGCTGCCAGTTTGATAGGCTTGGTATAGGGCTTCCTGCCTGAGCAGTGGGTTGGACTAGAAGACCTTCAAGGTCCCTTCCAAGTCTGCTATTCAATTCCATTCCATTCTCTCAGCCTGTGTCTCTGATTTGATTTGATCACAGCACGTTTCTGCTACATTTTGTTACTTTCAGCCAATTATTCAGATAATTTTTTAATTTTAGAAAAAAATCCTATCAGTTCAACAGTTTACCCAGAGAGATGCTAAACTTTCCTTCACAGAATCTGCTTAAGCAGTGGCTAAACAACCATGGTTTTGAGATGCTTTAATTTTAACTTTTGCACTGAATGAAGATTTAGATATTAGGGTTTAAGTAAGTATATTTAGTTTCATGAAAAGAAGGATTAGGGGTGACATCATAACAATGTTCCGATATCTAAGGGGCTGCCACAAAGAAGACATGGTCAACCTATTCTCCAAAGCACCTGAAGGCAGGACAAGAAGCAATGGATGGAAATTAACCAAGGACAGAACCAATCTAGAACTAAGGAGAAATTTCCTGATAAGGAGAACAATCAGTGGAACAATTTGCCTCCAGAAGTTGTGCTCCAACACTGGAAGTTTTTAAGAAGAGATTGGACAAGCATTTGTCTGAAATGGTATAGGCTTTCCTGACTAAGCAGGGATTGGACTAGAAGACCTCCAAAGTCCCTTCCAACTCTGTTATTCTATGTATGAAATATATATGTAATGAATTGTTTAGAGTGTCACAAGATTACTAGGTTTGCCTAACTTGAATCTCCTTTAAAGTATAATTTATATTATTTCATTAGCAAGTCTAATGAAATATTAGAATTGCTAAATCAATAGTAAGCACCCAAGGCAGTCATTTTCATGATGAGGAAGATCTTTAAATAACTTCCTGCGACTTGCTTTAATAGTAAAAAAGGTTAATAAGTCTCTTAATTCATACATTATTCTAAAAGTTTGGGAGGAGGTTCAAAGTGTATTTTGTCCAAAATATGTTATTTGTCACAGAAGTTTCATCTATGTTATTATTACACCAGGGTGGTAATAAAGCTTTACCATGAAAATTTTGCATGCTATGTAAACTGTGTTAGTTCTTGCAATCCCGAGAATGAACTATTTTTGCCTGTTATGTTGCTTTGGAATTATTTGGCAGCAGTATCTGCCCCTTAAATAGAACAACCAGGAAACTATTTAGGTGTTAAGTCTTTTGTTTTGACTCTTACTCTTACTCTTGAGTACTAAGATGCAAGAAAGCAAGCAAGCTCAGAGAACACCAAGGATAATTTTCTAATATTACAGAGAATTTAACTTCATTTTGGGAATTTCTGTATTTATACTTTAAATTTATTATCTGCATAATAATATAACACTGTGACTTTCTCTCTCATACTTCCTAAAATATGTCTTTCTGTCCAAAGCATGTTATTGAATATTCAGGAGATGTGGAACCAAGTTAGTTTCTTTTTTATTCTTTCCTGGCATATCCTTTCCCTCCATTTTGTGTAATAGGTCCATGGCAGTTTTGTAAAATAGATTAACTATAGTAGTTGTGTAACAAATTTACCTAGTGGCAGAAGCTTTAAAGCAGGGGTCTCCAACCTTGGCAACTTTAAGCCTGGAGGACTTCAACTCCCAGAATTCCCCAGCCAGCTTTCCTTTGCTGGCTGGGGAATTCTGGGAGTTGAAGTCCTCCAGGCTTAAAGTTGCCAAGGTTGGAGACCCCTGCTTTAAAGCTATATACTACTGTTAAAAGACTAATTTATTCAGAACCTTGTCCTAGAGTCCTTGCAACTAGTGTACTAGTTTTTCAGTAGTTGCTTTCATCTCTACTTTGCTTTTTGTATCTTTACTCTTGTGCAGTTTTGATTAGTTTATCAAAATTTGTGCATTAAAAAATAGAGTTTAAAAAGGGTACTGTTCATTGCCATAATTATCAACACAGTTAATTTCTATATGTTGAACCAAGATAGGGAGAGAAGGAAGAACACAACTTTAAGTCTTAATGCTCACATGCATAAAAGTACTTGACTTCCCATTTTCTCTTGTTACATACAGGATAGGATACCCTTTAATTTCGTTCTTTTTTGTTCACTAAATCAGGAATGGGGAAAAAAAGCAAATGCAGCTCCACCATATAGTGGGGATTTAAAACTTAAAATTATTTTCTTATGTAACATTTCTACATTTTAACTGATTCCTTTTATCTTTTGAACTCAGGCCCAGCATAGCCTGAATCAGTCTAGCAAGCTGAATTCATACAACCCTCGCAAGTCATAAAATAGCTATATTTTAGATTAACATAATGGAGAAATAGTCTCATTGAGGTAAACTAGTCCTTCTGCATCAGGCTCTGTATGCTGGTTTCTCCGTCTGAATAGGGCCTAGGAAAAATGTCTCCATTCTCTTTTCCCCATCTTTTTCGACCACAATCTTTACACTTAGCGCGACCTCGACGCTGGCGGTTCCCAGCGGAGCAGATCCGCCTTTGGTGCCCCCTCTCTACCCGCCGGGATCCACCGGAGGTCGCTCGCTCCCTCTCCGACGAAGCTTCTACCGAACGCCGGCTCCCCGTAGAGAAGCGAGGGCTCTTTCACACGCCAGAGACCGAGCGGGCAAGTCGTCAAAGGAGCGGCCGGCCCAGCCACTCCTTTTCACCGCTTGGGGCGGCTGTGCCTGAGCTCAGTAGCAACAAGTCTCTGAGTGGGAAGCTCCGCCCCGCCAGGAACCCGGGAGCCCCCGAGGTGGCGAGAACAGCAGCCGGCGACGGAGCGAGGCAGCCGGCGACTCCGAGGGCGCGCGCTACTTGCTTTTGCGGGGCTGGCGAAGCGCTGCGGCCCCGGCTTCTCACCGGGAGCCGTTTCGGGACTATCCCGGTGGAGGGAATGACAGGTAACGTCGCCGGTGCGGGGAAATGTGGCTCCGCTTTCCCATAGACTCGGGGATCGTGTTTGGAGGGGCGGGGGAAAAGGAGAGGATCGTTGGGATGCAGGAAGGCTCCTGCTTTTTCTTTTTAACCGATGGACGATTTATCCAGATTCCGCTTTGATACCTTCTTCCCCCTTTCTTTGGTAAAAGTTGCTTTGCTTCGAATAACATTGATCCAGCAGGTGCAGTTCTGGCTATTGTGAGACAGCGCTTCTTCTTTTTTGTTTTTTGTTTGAAAAGGCTCACCTGGCGTCTTTGGAGGGTCTTCCCACATTTAGACGAGGGACTTAGTTGCCTGCTTTGACTTCGTACGGTCTTGAGAATGGGTACCATATTGAACGTGGAAACCCGAGGCAAAGGAAACAAAGCTCTTTTATCAAGTTTAGACCAACCGTATTGCTGCAGGCTAGCGGGATTTGCATTTGCAAACAGGTTTTCTGTGTGGTCTGAAAAACAATACTTTTCCATTTTGGCCCCAATGAAAAGTTTTGTGTAAGTTCAAGTCTTAAATGCATTTCTGTGAATTTCTGTAAGAGGCAAGTCTCTAAAGTTATCCATCTCAAGCAGATGCGGTATTGTTATTCTTTAAACTACACTAGGAAACAATGTTTACTTTTCCGTATTTCCCAGTAAGGAGTTCTGTGTGACTCAGAGGCTTGTGTTACAGCAGCCATTTTCTACCTTTAGCACAAGAGCAGCTCCTTAATTGAAATGTAGTAGAATAGGTCTGATTTAGAACTTGTCTGCACTGGTGCCATAAAACATGTTAAACTTGATTTCACAGTGAAATTCATGCCTGTTTCACCTGTGCTATCTGCCTTAGGCATACCTCAAAATCAGTTCATGTTTGGAAACAGCTGACTTTAAAAAAAAAGGACCAAGGTAGGTTTCAATTATTTTTATAGTGCAACCAGTTGAAATACAAGCAAACTTTTAAGAGGACAAAAGGAAACTACATATTGTAAGCCAATTCTCTATTTCCCTTCTGCATTGTAGCATATTTGTTAGAAAATTAGAACTGATTCCTTTTCCCACATCCTCCTTGATTTCTAAAGACATTTATTGTGAGTACTTCAGCCCTGTGGGATGCAGTTTTCATTTGCCAACCTGGATTGTGGGGAAAACCAAATGTTTAATTTTGTTAAATATATTTTATAAAGTTTTCTTAGCATAATTTACCACCCTTTCTTGTTACCTTGACATACTGTATTGACGTAAATGATTTTGCATAGCATGCCAGTATAAAAAAATACAACAAACAAATGAACAAAATAAAAGAGTTCTAAACTGCAGCATTCATATCCCCATGGCTGACCTTCAGTGGAAGCTTATAATTCTTCAAATTGTTTTGTTGTTTGTTATAGAGAAAATAAAGACTCCAGTAACTTAAAAGAAAGCTGTATATTTTATCCCTTGTTGTAGTTAGCTCTCTTATCTTGTCTGGCAGGGTGATTGCTACTGCAATTTCTTTGTGTCAGGTGTGAATAAGTGATCCATTATCTTGGTGCAAAAACATAGAGGTGTTTCAGCTCCCCAGAAGAAGGCTTACTACAACCCCATATGAGTCACTGCTATGGGCTTGCGCCTTGCTGATTTGCATCTGCTTTTGTTTCATGTATGTATTATGTGTGGTTGCATCATTTAATTGCCCTGATGAAGAAGCACAGAAAAATCACCTGTTTTCAGGAAGCCTGATATTTCATTTGGATTTGCTCTTCAGCACCAGTTTGGAGAATACAGGCAATTTCATTTCTAGATGTGTAAGGATTAAGCAATCAATATAGAAATTCATAGAAACAGAGATTGCTTATAGAGCTCTGTGTGAGTGATCAAGTGGTCTTGTTTTTTTCCGGTTAAGAGTTGCTCCAGAGTATTCTCAGTGGGGTCCAGCAAGGAGCTCTCTTGAAGAGTGTGATTCCTTTTTCTTTACATCTGCTGAAATCAATGGTATGTGAGTGAATAAGTGTCTTTCCACATTTAATTGGAAGAGAAGAAATTGTATCATTAGCTGGACTTTTGCACTCATGGCGGAGGTATCATGAGTTGCATTTTGTGCTGTGCCTGTCTAAAGAAGTAGGGAATGCAAAATGTGTTCATTGCTTCGGGTTAAATGCAAGCTGTATTAATAAAATAATGGCTTTGTTTTAAACAATACCTAGAAGAGTGGCAGCATTAGTGAACATTTATTAGCAAGTCTATGTTCTTGTTGAGGAAAACAACACTTTCTTTTTTTGTCTCTGCTATGAACTGATTTCAGAAAGGTTTACAAAAATTAAATAAAATAAGTTTTAACCAAATAAACATCAAATAAACAACTCATGCATATAATTGAACACTTGGGAGAACCTGCAGATAGACTGGGATTTGCCATTCATAAGTGATTTGAGATATTTTGTAACCAACATTAAACAAGACTGTCCTTGGATGGAACAAAGCAAGTGATAGAATAAGGTTGCATGCTTTTTAAAGGAATTGGCTGCATAAAACTATTGCATAAAGTCTATAGCTTTAGAGCTTCATTACTTAAATGCTATGTAAATTCCCTCGGCATCTGTTCACTCAGCCTTGCCATTTTGAGGGTAAGATGATGTTACAGTATATTAACGTGTAAATGGGAATTACTGCCACTGTACTTGGCAGTGAAGGTGATGGAGGAAAACTTCAAACCAAATTCCCTCAGTAAAAAGATCATTTAACTGCATAACCTGCTCACCAAGTCTTTCCCTTTTCTCCCAAAGTAGACCAACAGTGCTTTTCTTTGTTGGGTTCTAAACGCTATTTAAATTTGAGTCCTGTTTGTTCGATAAAACTTGTGTTTCTATACGGATTAATGAAAGTTTTGGAAGTAAAAATATTTCCCTCACTTAGTTTTAAAAGTGACCCCGAGAAGCACAATTTAAATCTAGAAGAAATGTGAAAAATATAAAGATGAAATTGGAAATGGAATAATTTGAGATGCTTTATGGAATCTGTTGAAATTATGATAAAATGTGGGTATAGGATTCCCCCAAAAGTCTGCTTGCATGAAGTGAGGCCTAGTGTGCTGACCCTGAGAAGCACAATTTAAACCTAGAAGAAATGTGAAAAACATAAAGATGAAATTGGAAATGGAAATAAATATAGTGGTAGGAAAGAGGGACAGTATCACAAAGTAACCAGTGAGAGTTTTTATTTAATTCTACATTTTTTATAAATAACTCAAAATGGCACACTTCCTACTCTTTCTTCTTAACATTTTTGCCACAACAACCCTGTGAGATTTACTAAGATAGTTATACAAAGTGGCTATAACTACTATAGAAGAGGTTTGAGGATTATGTTCTAAACTAACTAAAAGCAATCATCTCTGGGATGAAAAATGATCCAGCAATATGAAGAAATATTAGAAAAAAGACTAGAAATTAAAGTGCTATCATAATGCTATAACTGAATATGTTTATTTGTGTACATATCTGTGCATATGCAATGATATATACAATATTATATATGGGTTAAGTTACCCTATTTCTAAAACAATGTCATAGGGTTCGAAAAAGTTACAGAAATGGACAATCAAAATAATGATTAATGTTGATAAAACTGGATTGTAGTGAGGAAAACATTACCTGGGCAGAGGAGGGATATATTTAATACAACTATACTTCTCTGCTCTTTTCACATCATAAAATACTTTCACAAAGAGTTTCCCCCCTCTCAAAATCCTAGAATTTCTTCTGGGAAAAAGAAAAGTCCAATTAGTTGAAGTAGAACATTTCAACTCATGTATTGCTAAGTTTTGGTGTTGTACCACCACAGGATGTGATAGCCAGTATAGCCAAGACTAGATAGAAAAAGTTTTAAAAATTCTAAATTGGTTTTTCTTTTATTTCATTGTTATATTTATTTCCTAAATCTTATGTAGGAACTCAGGTGGCATGCCTACTAGTCTTTTCTACATTTTTCCCCAAACAGCTGTGTAAGGGCAGAATTAGATTGCTCTGAAATCACTCAGCATCTGTGGCTGATTGTAGATTGGGCCTAGTTCTCCCCAGTCTTGCTTTGACTGCTATATTATACTATCGTTTCAATAGTGAGATGAGTAGCATATACATTTCATAAAAAAAAAAAATTGACAATTTTGGACATAGTAGCTGTGGAGGTAAGGGTTGGATTTGAACTGCCATTCCACATGGATAGAGATTTAATTTCTCCATCTCTGAGCAGCAGCCATGAATTAATTACATTTCAGAGAACAGTCCTCTATATGTTTGCTTTGGTTGAAACAGTCTGATACTCCCAGTTATGCTGTGCATCTCCAGATAGTACATTTAGTGAAATAATAAAAACTTTAGTATGAGAATATATAGGGAAAAAGGTGCACCTGCAGAATGCCTATAATCTATTCTATGCTGTTAAAATAATTGTAAAGATATAAAGCAACAAAACATTAATCTATATTAAAATATTGATATTTGTGGATACTTGTGATGAGTAATAAAACAATGCATCCATAAAATGCTGAATAGCAAGGTAAAAAAAAGTGTATCCAGCACATGCCTAAATTGAAATAAGATTGACTCATGTTTTGTCATTTTGGGAGAAGGTCTGCAACTACTGAGTAGAAAAAGCCTTCTACTTAAAGGAAAACAAATTCCTAGCTTAAGGCATTATTTAGCTGAAGCTGACATCTAGTTTAAAGTGTGTGGATGTGTAATGCAAATCTATAGAGAGAGAGCATGCTATGCATGTGTGCATAGGAACCTTACATTTCTCTTCTAGAGTTAGCATTTTGCCAGCAATTTGAGCTAGCACATAGGTCAGTCAGTCTTTCCCATGGTAGCACAAGTGTGAGTGGCTAAAGAGTTGAGCAGTACCAAAATTGAACTCAGTGAATAAGTAAATAAATGTTTCGGAAAGAGTAATTATCTCTAAATGTGTGTTAAATCTGTAAATGTATACATGTGAATAATATGCACTTGGAATCA